GATACATGGAGCCTTGCAGAACTCCTGGGAGTTCTTTTCATCTGCTTTCTGTATGCTCTGCATACATTAAGACATAATGCATGGCTCGTGATTCATCACAAACACCTACCTACTACATTCCACCGCAATGGTGATTAAAAAAAATTACCAATATAAAAAATTGAAAACTTTAGTTCTTTATAGTCTTCTGGACTTTCCCCCTCTTGTCACCTGGAGAAACACACTTTGTGTTAACTGCTCACCTTTTCCATTCTGACAACAGTAAATCCCTCAGTATTCATGCAAGTCGGTGAAATAAATTCCACTGGAAGAATTACAGAGATGTGTGTCAAGGGGATAGATAAATGATACATCAGAGACCTAGCAACGGCAGAATGGGAATTTGTGAGCTGTTTGTTGTTGTTGAAAAGGCTTATGTACGTGATTCTTCTAGATTCACTTTAAAAATTACCCCTTAGTGACTACCCATTTAACCTGAATGCCATAACAAAAGGCTGGAAGGTGCCCTCAGCAACAGGTTGCCCTGGGCATTGTGAAACATTTTCTACTTTCTTAGACAGAAATCCCAGATGCACAATCTCCTGCCTTGAGCTGGAGATAGCGATGTTAAACCTCAGCCCCTTGGGTTTCAATTGTGTGTTGCTTTAGGTTCCCAGCACCACGGATTTTCAAACAGCCCAAGGAGAAAGCAAGTGTTTAGTCGTTAATATTTCTTCTTAGAAATGTGCGATCATCAACTGGGGTGACAAGGGTCAAAAGAAAATTGGAAAAGCTTTCCCTATTTTCCAGGCAAAACATGTTTCCTTATTGCTGGATCTCTGACAACAAGTTATTATGGGAAACATAACATCTGTTCCTGATCTCCAGGGGAAGAGGAGCAAGCTCTCTGATCAAGGTGATGGCAGTCCTTAGGTACATCAAAATCAGGCCCTTAAGTCTTAAAGCCAACATGGACATTTCAACTCTAAGCTCCATTTTGATTCAGGAACATGAAAACATTGCTTCTATCGGGTCAGTACAATCCTTACTGCAATGGGCCAGGGGTAAAGAGTCGCACGGCTTTTCCAGTGTTTAAGACACCTGACCTAGGGCCTAGGGAAATGGATATCTTAGCTACGTTAGACTGCTGATAATAGAGGTACACTCCAAAGAGAAAAACAATTCTCATTTGCATCTTTACTTTGCTAGAATTCTTATCTGATAAAGAATATTATACTTCTAGGAAACAAAAGTGTTAGCCATAAATTAGAGAAGTTATATCAAGTAGAGCCTAACCCCATAAATGAGAATCACTTTTATTTCATAAAAATCTAAAGCAGGTGGTCTAGGGTCAGTGGGTGTAGTGGAAAATGGTATTTTAACTTTCACCAGTCAGTGGTCTGAACTGATTATGATAGCTTACAAATCAATGATGTCCTAGTGCTAGATTTTACTGGCTAGTGAGAGCTAATTGTTAAATATTTTGGAATTTTGTAAGCCACAACTGAGAATTGACAGACATTACAAATTGAGGCTAGTTTTTCCCCTCCCAAGAGATATTTTATTTCTAGGCCACTACACATTGACTCAAGGACACAGATTAGCTCCCAGAATTGAGAAAATGTTCATTTTCTTCCCCCCAAAGAGCAGAACCACAAGCCAGTCAACCAATTTAAAAGGAAATAAAGATCATGATAATAAAGACCTTATATTGCTATTTTAGTATAATTCTTAATCCTAGAGTAATTTTCTCCAATTTTATAATGTTATATTCATTCAAAGTGACATCTGTAAAAGGACTTAGCTTTTGCTTGGTATTAGGGGTGGGAAAACAGAATAACTTTTGCTCACTCTAGGAACAGAGTGTTAGATATCAAGGATGTGGAATACTAAGGGGAACAGAACTATTATGAGTAACAGCATGAAAGAGGAGGGATTATTTTTCAAATATTAAATATAGGTCACAGAGTCTGCAGCAGTGCTCACTGAAATGTTAATTCTATTCAATTCAACTTGACAAACATTTATAAACAATAAGCGTTGCTGAGTTAAACTGAAATGTTAACGTTTATCCACCTGTGATATTTCTCTGCAAAAATGAGAAAAACTCCTTTGACTATAAATTAAATTCTACCCTGAAATGAATGTTAACTTTACAATAAATATAATCATTAAATATTTATATCTCGCCTGTTTCATGACACCTGTTATTGAATTACTCAGCGGCTTAGAGAAAATAATGCATAGATTCTACCGCACTTAAGTGGTATGAGAAAATACAAAAAAAGTGAACAGATATTTCTGAACTTTTAGTGAGCAACTATGAATATTTATGGTAGACAGTTCCATTTTTTTTTCACCTCCGGGTAGTTATCTCCCTACTTCTGATTGAAGCACGTTAGCCCCACTTCTACTAAAAGCACACTTCTCACCTAGTTTCAGTATATGTTCTACTAGAGGCCTCTTGCAGGAAGATTCCTGCAATAGGGCTTCCTGGTGTGTCTCCACTGCCCCACTGGCTTCTCTCCTTCTCTCCCTCCCCACCTGCTTCCCCTCCTTCTCCGCTGCTCCGCTTGCTTGCTTCTCCCTTCTGCAGCAGTCTTCAGTCTTCACTCTGGCCTGGATATGCAAATTAACCACCCTGATTGGCTGGCAGGCGTGGCTTGTGGGTGTAGCGAAGGTACAGTCAATTTGCATGTTTCTCTTTTATTAGAGAGGATAGGAGGAATTGGCAGTCTCCCTGGTGCCAAGGGAGGGCCTGTGGCTCAGCATGACCAATGAGAGAAGCACCTTTCTCTGAAAACAGTGATTTGATTCTGAGGTGGTTGCTTGCTCCACACAGAAATGATTATAAATTTCCTTGAGGTTATTGAGAGAGAAAATGTCTCTCCTTTTTACCTTGACCTTGAGTTTGGGAGGATGTAGATCTGACACTCCTGGTAGCTGCCTTCCTATATAGGAAGAAACCAAATATGAAGGAGAACAGGCCTGATAGATGGCGATATATCAAGGTCGGGTGATACTGTTTACACCCCTTGAATAAGCCATTCCAGAAGTCGTCACTATACTACCTTATAATAATGTGAGATAATGACTTATGATACGTAATGTAAATTTTATATGATACCTGGAGTTAAGGTTTCTGTCCTTACCACCAACAGAATCCTAACATTCACATATTTGCAGATTTTTCAAACCACTTCTGAAACCACAATCACCAGAAAGTGCAAAAGCCATCTTTTTACCTGTCCTTATATACAAGTCCTTTGCCATGTACTTTTGTAGTTCTTCTTGCAAAATGACAGACTATACTTCCTGCCTTTTGACATTGAGATTGGCCATGAAATTTGCTTTGGCCATTGGAATGCTATAGATATGATGCAACCAGAAGGTTAAAGTCGGCTTACCTTATTGGGCTTCTGTCAGCCCCATTACAAGAACATGCTCCAGCTAGTCTGCTGACCCAAGGAAGATGAAAGACATGTGGAACACTGAGCCAGTCTGTTTCCCTCCACCCCCCCAGCCACCATAGTATAAGATAAAGCCACTCCAGCCAAGTTTTAGATCTTAGACTAAATCATCATTATTATTATAAGATACTGGGTTTCCAGACAATCCACAGTAATGCTCAAAGCAACACTGTTGCACAGTGTTGCAGACAGCACCCATACCACTCCCAGTATGGAAAGAAGAAATTGTTTTAAGTCTCTAGGGAGACATTTCAGGTTTTGCAAGTGAAATGTAAACACGGAGCGAAGAAGGAGAGATTATTCAAACCAGAGGTCACAAACTGATGCCTGTAATGGCAAGCAGGTAAGGACAAAACACAAAAACTGACAATAAAGCTCATATAGCATGTAGCATATGCCAGCCAGGCACTGTTTTGGGTGTTTACACATATTAGTTCATTTAATCCTCATTACAATTATTTGAGTTAGACACTGTTGTTATCTCCATTTACTGGGGTGAAGCTGAGGTACAGAAAGTTTTAAAAACTTTCCCAATTGACGAAGAGCTTATACATGGTAGAGCTAGCACCCGATAAGCTCTAGTAAAATGAGCTAGATAAGAAACAGGAGGAGTGGAGGGAATGATGCTTCTCCTGATAGTTGGGCATCATGTTCAGCAGCTTGTCGCCATGTGGGATTGAGAGCATTCTGAGTAGAAGCCAAAAATCTAGATTTTTAACAAATCTCCTTGTTTTTAAATACCATTTTAAATGTCCAAATGTTTTATTTTTTTAACATCATGAAGGTTAACCCTATGAAGTTCAGGGCCAGAAAGTCACATTTAAAAGTAAATTTGGTCATGGTCTGCCTGTTGGCACCCACTGATCCAAGCTTAGCAGCCGAGTTCTGTTCAGGTGATAGATGTGCCCCATGCATACATCAAGAGCTCTTTGAAAGTGGGTTCAAAAGCTTTGTCTCTAATGTTACAACAAGGCAAGCATCCCTGGGGCTTCCACTGTACCTTTACCTTTATGCCTTTACACCAGCCCCACAGGCTCAAGACCTGCTATTTGGGTCCTCGAAGTCACCATGATCTCTCTCACCTCTGGAAATCTAGGCCTGCTATTCTCTGCTTGGATTATTCTCTGTCCTTTCTTTATTTGTCTTAGGTGAATGCTACTTCCCACAGGAAGCCTCTGCCAGTGACCCTCATGAATATACTGGGGAACCCTGCTGAGTGGTCTGGAGCACCATGCACCTTCCTTTAACAAAAAAGTAGGTTCACCTGTATTTTTATCTGCTTTGGCACCAGAATGTATTTCTTACTAGGCTAGGATCCCAGAGGGCAGTGGGTAGGAAGAGTTTGTTCACAATTCCTAATACATAGTAGATACTATAAAAAATGGTTATCAGATAAAAGAAGAAATGCACAAATGAAATAATATATACAGACCTCGCAACTGTTACTGTCACTGAGTCTATTATAGGCATACATGGGCGTGTGTTCATGTGCATGCACATCACACACGCGCGCGCACACACACACACACACACACACACACACACACGTACCTAGATAATGCAAGAGCACGGTTAACTCTTTCTTCAAGGCCTAATGTGCCCAGGGCCTTCCAAGTCATCCAGAACTTGAATGCATCTGCTCTCCTGCTACATTGAATAGACTTGTCTCCCGTGTCATAGCTGACATCATAGAATTTATCCTGCTGGAAGAGGTAAGATGCCTTGGCAGAGTAGCATTTCTTAAGAAGATCCTTTTCAGGGGGGGAAAAAAGAAGAAAGATTAAAAGATTGTCCATTTTTAAAAATACACTTAATTTTGAAAACAAACGCCCTCAAACATAACCTGTATGATATTCTACTACTTTGTGCCAAAGGTGTTTGGTCTCATTCTATGACTGTCCTAAATCAGAAGCAATAGGTCTGTATTAACTCGGAGACAGACTACCCATTGTGTTTACGGATAACCCTGAGAGTTGAGAATTCTAAATCCCTCCTCAACAATTTTCCTGATGAGTACTGAGAAGTGTTGAGACAACCATGAAATCAAGGTGGGCTTATTTCTCAGTATTAAATAAAAATCTGTTTGTAACTCACTCAAGGCTCCTACCATATTGTACATACTTTAAACAACTGCTATGCAGAAAAACTAGGCTTTTAAAACCTCTTCTTTTCAACTCATCCATATTAAAGAGGCCTGAAGTGACAATAACTCAGAGGAAAAAATTTGAAGAAAGTACTATGGAGGAGTTAAACAAGTGTCAACAAGTTTTAACAACTACAGTATATCAGCTACAATTCCAAATGTTTTTTGGGGGGTGGTGTCACATTGGCTTTATTTACACCCAAATTCAATTTGCACTTACTGACTGGTAACTTCTTGCCAAGCAGTGGAAGACAATTCACTATGTTTATCACCATTTTAGTGTCTTTGCTTTGACATCAAATTAATAATGTTTAAGCACTGTGGCCCTCAATGTCATTTGGTATCTACAAAATCCAAGATTTTCTAACCTGTTCTTCACAGCCCCCATAATTCTCTGAGCATCTTCATTACCTGAGAATATCTAATAGAACCATCTACTTCCCCAGCATAACCAAACCACTCAATGTCCCTTAATCACTAGACCATGCCCCATCTACACCTTTGCTCACACCATTTGCTTTACCTTGTCTCTATTTTAATATAACATGGCATTCAAAAGAATGTGTACAGTATACTTATACGTTCTGAAGCTTACTAACACCAAACATAGTCTTCCCTCTTAACAAAGTCTGCCCTTCCTTTGGGTTCAATCTCAAGTTCTGCTTCCTCTTTAGCTTCTTTATCTACCCATTCGATTGGACTCACTTCCTGCCTTTATATTCAGCTGCATTTGTTGGCTTTCCTCCTGCAATGTCCCACTCAATGAGCAGTCTGCATGCATTCTCTCCTTATATGGCAAAACCGGTTCTTGAAAACAGGAATCATTTCTTATCCACATCTTGTCTACATCCACCGAGTGTAACATTGTATTGGGCACAGAGGACCCTCACTAAGCAATTAGGGCAATTATGCCACTCCCCATATTCCATTCTTCCCTCACATTCTCCTGACATGTAGTATGAACAGAATAAATGCAGATATGTGAACTTCTCATATGGTGCATCTTGTAAGTCTTAACGATGAAAAATTATCAGTGTTGTACTGGAAGCCACAGAGAAACTCCACAGGAGTCACAGAGGTCCTAGAAATGATTCCTTTTAAACAGAGAATGTATTAAATGTATTCATTGGACTGATCAACTTGTACTTCAAGGTATCACATTCCAAACAAAAGCATGCATTTTGTTATCTTAATAGCAATTTTGTCTTTTGTGGACATTAATCTAGATATAATGTGTTCTATTACCACAAATAATGATTTTATAGTATATTAAAATAATATAGCAACTATAATCAAGACCTCCAAAATCCCACTCATCCATTATCCAAAATAAACTGAGTATAAAATAATAATTAAAGCAATATTAGTAAACCTTCAGCCTGGCATTGATAGATATAACTGGGAGACACAGGGGAAGAGCTGATGGCTCTGACCTGAATATTAAAGTAGAAAAAGATCCTTACTCTTTAAGCTACTTTAATTTTATCAGCAATCTTTCAACTTCGATCACAGCAGCCACCCCTGCATCTCCCTACCCTCAAATGTCAGGAAATTTGGTTACTGTTTCCATAGCAACTACAGCCTGACCATGCATTACAACATTAAAAGGCCACTGCCTATATTTCAAAGACAAAGCCTACACACACACACACACACACACACACACACACACACACCATACTTACACACACACACACACACACACACACACACACACACACACTTGTACTTGCATCCTGATTATAAATGTATTTTCATCAACTATGCAAGATTCAAAAATATTCCCAAAGCAAATGAACTTTAGACATGTCTTGGGCAAGTTTCAGTGACTTATGCTACTGGCTGTAAGGAAGAGGAAGCCCATTCATTATCAGAAGACAAATGGATCATCTTAGTCAAATGGAGAAGAGGAGAGCCAAGAAAACATACAGCAGAATGAGTGATGGTCCTGCGGTAGTGACATTGTTAATTTTGTTGCACTGAAAAGCCCTCCTGCCTTGGGAAGCTTCCCATAAAGAACTAGAGGCTTGGGATTTACTTTATTGAAAATAAATGAAAGCTATTTCCCCAAAGATTTTTTTTTGCTTTGCATTTTAGTTTATATTCTTGTATTAAAATTGATGAGATCTCTTTAGTTTAAGATACACATTAACTAAGGGAAGATCTCCAGAGAAAACAACAATATTGGAGTAAGTATAATAAAAGTTAAGATTTTTTATTTTGTAAGTGTAAAACACTTAATCTGCCATTACTGTACTATCAAAGAGAAAGACCATGTTTATCTTGCTCATCTTTATACACTTATTCCTAGCAGGACAATAAAAACTAGTTATGTGGATTCCGGAGACAAATATTCAATGAGAATTGCTTTATGTTGTGGTATCTCAAACAGTCTCATGAATTAGTAGACAATGTATGAAAATTTTCACAGAGGCAAGTGAAAGAAATGCAATCAAAGTAGCTTAAGCAAAAAGGGAAAATGGTACAGGCTCATATTTTTTAAAAATCTAGATATGTAAAATCTACATGCACAGTTGGATACAGGACTAAATCAAGAATGTGCCTTTTTCCTCTTGTTCTAGTTTCTTCTATATTGGCCTCATTCCCACAGCAGAAAGCTGCTAAGAAGCCTGGGAACTAGGGTATTCCAGTGGGGCCTGTGAGCATAGAAGGAGGCTCTGTTGGAGAGAGATGGGCAGGAAAGAAGAGAGAGCCTCTGCCACTGATGCTACTACCCAAGCAGCAAGAAACCATTGGCCTTCTGAGATCAATCTCTTCTCTGAAACTGCTGCTCCTTAACCTAACAGGAGGCCAATTAGTAAGGGAGCCTGGGAAATGTGGTTTTCTGGAGCCAGCCCTTTTTATAGCAAACCAGAGGGAGGTTGAAGAATGAATTATACAGTTAAGTGAAACAAGCAAATGTCAAGCAAATAGCATGAGGACAGAAACCATAACTTTCCTTTTCAGTATTTGTATTCACAACACCAAGCCCAGCACATACTAATAATGGCCAGAGCCAATATTTATAAAGACCTTACTATATGTTAGGTACCGTATATGTATGAATTAATTTAAATCTGAAGTTGTATTATTTTTGTCAACACCATGTACATGTAAAGAAACTGCAACATAGCAAAGTTTGGTGAATTACCTAAGATCATGTAGCTTCTAAGTGGTAGAGCTGGGCTTCAAACCAAGGCCTCTTGAATCCAAGATCTAAGCTCTTTACACATCACTCTCTGTTCTCCCTACAGTGAGCACTTAAGTATGTGTGGAAGAGAGTGCTCCATAAATACTCATTAAGAATCCTTAAAGAGGTTGGTGAAATGGAAAATGGCAGTAGAGTACACATCAAACTAAAGGTCAAAACAACTAACATCCCATTTTGGGCCCTTAACTTTGTCCCTATAAATATAACTTCAGCATTTACTAGTGGCAATATCTTGTCTATGAAGCATTTTGAGATTTTACTAAATACTTGTGACTCTGGTGATATTTAAGGAGATCACTAACAACACATAATGAGTCGGCAAGTTGTGTGTTTTCCTTGTCAAGATTAGTCCAGTCATGTTGGATGTCCACAGGCCAAATCAGATTCAGCAGCCTCTTTCCCAAGAGTCAGTGACTACATGAGGCTACTTTAAATCCTCACTTCTTTCAATCACATTTTTCAGCTTACCAAACAAAAGCTACCAAAAACTCCCATATTGCCGAAACCGGTTTGGCTCAGTGGTAGAGCGTCAGTCTGCGGACTGAAAGGTCCCAGGTTTGATTCTGGTCAAGGGCATGTACATTGGTTGTGGGCACATCCCCGGTAGGGGGTGTGCAAGAGGCAGCTGGTCGATGTTTCTCTCTCATCGACGTTTCTAACTCTCTCTCCCTCTTCCTTCCTCTCTGTAAAAAATCAATAAAATATATTAAAAACAAAAACAAAAACAAAAACAAAACAAACAAAAACAAACCTCCCATATGGCTCTTCTCATATTCTGTCCCAATTCACTGTTATTTACCATCAAGACTTTGTCTAAATTAATCATTTTTGTACTAATTCATTCATTCCTAAATTATGTATTGAGGACCTATTTTATGGTAAGTACTGTGATGTCAGGAGTTTGGGCATACAACCCCAATGGTAGTACTAAGCATCTAGTCCAGGGGTACAGAATCATTTGGTCTGGCCCTGCCAAAGCATTGGGGGTGAGTTAATTAAATGTGTGACCAAATATAGCAAGCAAATTTTTAAGTTGATAATTTTGTATGGCCCACGAATGATGTTACAAATATTCAAATGGTCCTTGATAGAAAAAAGGTCCCCTTCTCCTGATCTAGGCTAACATTTGTTGACAAAATGGGAAAAATTAAATTTAGGCTGTGAATAGCAGAAAGGCTTGTTGCAATGTAGAATATAAAAGTGAATTTTAAAAACAATTATACCTTCCAATATTGGCTTTATTTATTTGTTGAGCTAACACTTTGAGAGCCTTTCTATATGCCTAAAGCGGTACTAGGCACTGGTGCTGTAATGTCACTATACTTAAGAAGTTTAAGATGAAGATAAGGACGGAAAAACAGGCAATTAGAGTACAGAGCTAGAACAGGGGAAAGAAC